CTGTGGGGGCGATATGCTGACTCTGTAAAACGCTTAGAGAGGGCTGAAAGCCCTATGAAGCGGTATATAAGTCTAACTGCTATTGCTATTGCTACTAGACAGTTCTGTGAAACTGATCTAATGAACCAGATTAACAGAAAATGTTCTATGTTATTTACTTTGCTTTTTTTAGCGGTACAACCACTTCTTCGGGCTTTTGCTATCTGAACCTGTAGCACTGTAATGGTCCTGAGAGAAATCTGTCAAAGGATTGATTGCTGAGGTTGTGATGTTAATTCAAGAACATAATTTGTAAAGTATCACACTTTTTCTTTCCTGCAGATTTGGCGCCATTACGATGCTGACAGCAGTGGCTTTATTTCAACCGGTGAACTCCGAGTAAGTCCTGGGCTTGCTGGAACTGTATCCAGATGCGGCTTTTATTATTAGCTACTCTTTGATTAGCTGTACCCAACACCTGTACTAAGCAGAGTTCCAGGTGGAAGCTGCAATTACCGTATTTTTCGGAGTGTAAGATGCACCTTTTCCCCTCAAAAAAGAGGGTGAAAATCTGGGTGCGTCTTATACACTGAATATAGCACTTTTGGCCTATCGAAATCCTGCCCCCTGTGCAAAAATGAATGTGCAGAGGATTTGGGAGGCTTGAAAAGTGCTCCTGGGGGCTGGGGAGGGCAGTTTTTGCTCATTCCCCCCCCCCAGCCTCCAGGAGTACTCTCCAAGCCTCCCAAAGCCTCTGCATGCCCCTTTTTGGCAAAAAAAGTCCTGGGTTTTTTGCTCATTTTTGCCCCCCCCTCAGCCCCCGGGAGCACTCTAAGAGCTTCCAAAAGCTCTGCATGGCCACCCCCCCTTTTTTTTGCAAAAAAACAAGGCATGCAGAGGGTTTGGGAGGCCTGCAGAGTGCAAAAAATGTTTTTTTTTAATTTACCTTTTCAAAATTATGGTGCGTCTTATACTCTGGTGTGTCTTATAGTCCAAAAAATATGGTAAGTTTCCTTGGAGGTAGCAACAGTGACTGGGAATTAGCCTCCAAAATGAATAGGCCCACAGCATGCATATAGACAAGACTTAGATGTTCTGTTCCCCTTTGTGGCAATATTTGCAGGTTCATTTATTATTTCTTTTACCTTTGTAGAGGTGCTAGTGTCTCTTTAAATAGTGGAAACCTGCTGTGCCTATTTTCAACTACAGAGACAAAGTTGGTCATCCATGAATTATGCATGAGACTTGTCTGAATCAAGCTCTGAGTCATGCATATTGTTCTAGGATGAAGCTGAAACGTAACTTCTACCCTCTTTCCTGAATTTAGGACTTTCTGCAAGATCTGTTTCAACAGCAGGAAAAAAACGTTTCCGAAGCAAAACTGAAAGAATATACGGATACCATGGTAAACTGAAAATTCTTAACTATTATTCCTAGCATTATAGTAATTCCTAAATCTCTGAGGCAGCCTGAAGGATTTTTACATTACTTGGATGTGTGCAGCAAAGGATGAAAAAGAATATTATACACAAAGCACATAGGATTTAAGGATGGTTTCAAACAGCAATCTTCTACCTTCAGAAACATGATGCAAAGGGGAAAAAATGGAAATGGTAGAGGCAAGAGCAAAGAGAAAAATGAATTAAGGAGAGCTCTGAGTTCTCTCAAAAGGACCATCCAATTCTGGAATTCTATATTTTTCCTTTATGTGACTCAGAGGCATGGTGTACAAAACCCAAGTGGTACCTAGTGATTTTTAGACACTGTGCTGGAGGGAAAGTATCATCTGCAGCTGATGCCTTTTAAAGCGGTGCTTCCTAAACCCATGTAATTTACCCAAAATTAGGAAAGAGTGGTTTTTCTTTCAGTAAGGACCAGTGGTGGGTTTCAAAAATTGTTGGAACCTACTCTGTGGGTGTGGCTTCCTTGGTGGGAGTGGCTTGATGCCCATGTGACCGGNCCACCCTGTGAGATCGGTGGGTATGAGAAAGAATAACTAGCCCAAAGTTGACTTTCATGCCCAAGTTGAGACTAGAAGTCACAGTCTTCTGGGTTCTAGTGGGCACCTTAACACCACTAGATCAAATTAGCCTCCATGCCTGTTGGTTTCGAGAACACTGATGCCTTCCCTGAACCCAAAGTTATAAAGATGATTATATAGCTTTTGTCAGAAATCTGATGACAAATAATAAAACTAATAATGGAACCATGGGTCATCATTCTCTTGCTTAGCATAGGAATAGCTCCAGAATTGAATATCCGTATTATTGCTAATTTAAATTCTCCTTTTTCAAGGAATTCATATCCAGCTCAGATCAGTTTCTATGCATTACAGCACACAATTTTTTTTTCAAGTTAATAATTTACTCTACAAAAGAAAAAGGCTGTTGATTGCTGCGAAGCCAGCCAAACTATTTGTCTCACCCCATTTTTTGAAATTTATTCCTAACCCACTCTTCTCCAGAGATGTCAGATAGTAATTTAACTATTCCTAATAGCATGGGAGTTGACACTCAATATATCTGTAGAACACCCAGTTGGGGAAGGCCATGGTAGACAAACCAAAACTGACACTCCAATTGCAAATCAAGCTGTCACTGATATAGGGAATAAATGAACAAGCAGTTGAACAAATGTAGATATTCATTTTTTCAGAGTTTCTTTTAGAAATTTTTTGCACTGCTGCCTCAGCTCTTATGTAATCAATTCAAGACGTTGCAAGGGATTCTCATTGTAAAAAATTAATATTGTAAGCAGAACGGGAAATTGGATGAAGTAGAAGTAAGAGTATTTTTCTAAATATGAAATATCACTAGTATAAGTAGTCATAGACTGAGCCTTACTCTCTGTGGTTTCTTACTTCTTCCCATCATATTATGTTGTCTTACATGGAGGAGTGTAACTAAAAGTTCTCAGAAAGTAATGGTTAAGGGCTAGCCATGTGCACTTAATTGCAGGATGTGATAAAAGACAACAAAATAGCTGATACATTTTTTTTACAAAACTGAAAGGTAATGGATAGTGCTAATAATTACCATCTTGCTGAAACTGCAGCGTCAAAAACACCCAACACCAGCTTTCTGTCAAGGCTTGGATGTAATTATATAGCCATTGTTATTGGTATCTGATAAGAAACGATTTAAAAACCCTAATTTAACGTTCTACAAATAGACTGCTTCTATGAGATGCAATGGAGCCTTCAGACCCATTTTGAGTGCTGAAAATACTATTGATTAATTAACAATGAATAATTTAAAAAAATATTTCCTTTTCATATCCCTCAACAGTGCTAAGTGTGTAGGAAATCTTTTTGAAAACACAGGTGATGTTTTAAAACATCTCTGGCAGAATAACTGTAATTCATAAGAACCACATAAGATTGATTTGTCTGTAATTATTAAGGTTAAAAAAACTATCCCACAGATGCACCCTGCCTTCTGATTAAATAATGAGAGGTTATTCCTAGTCATTTCTTGACTTCTTGGTCTATAGTTAGAGTGCTTTCTCCACTCACTAGAAACCACTTTATTATGTTGTGGGGTTTTTTTAAAATTAAAAACCGATGCCAACTTTATCAAATTTTGCAAAGCTCAAATACATTTCCCAATACAGACGTTTCCTTCCTCCCAGTGTAGATCTTACACATTGTTTGCTTATCCGTCGCAAGTAAGGCGAGGACAACTTAATTTAAAGCACCGTTTCCGTCCCCTTGCTTTTTGTTAGGAGCAGAGTTGTCACCCCTTACCAATTAATCACTTGGGAAACAACGATCCGCGCAGTTTCTTTGATTTGCTTTCCCCTCCTCTTCGAGGTCGCTCTGACCGCCTATCGAAGCAGCAGGTGGGAACTTGGGAGCGCTGGGCGGCTCCACTACTGCCGCTTTCCTTTGTCAGTCGCCGCCGCGGGTCGGTTCAAAGGCCGGCACCCCAAACTTCGGCCGTCGTCAGCACCATGGACAGCGATCTCCTGCCCCTCTTGGACGCTGCAAGTTTCCGGAACCTCTGGCAGCGCTTCGACGCTGACGGTGAGTGACAGGCGGAGGAGATTTGGGTAGGGCGGAGGGTTCCTCGGGGCAAAAACTTAATTTGGGATAAGTCTGTTTCGCTCTTCTCTCGGCTCCCCCGAGTGGGCCCTTTGATTGACTGAGATTCCCTGCTCTTTGGGATTTCCCCCCTTGGCCTGAACTTTTTATCTGTAATTGACGTGCTTCACTTTCCAATACAAGATGCCCTGCCAAGCTGCGAACCTTTTTGCCACTGCTGGAGATGATTAATCAATGGATGACCAGTTAGTTTGTTTACTCCTGAATAGTTTTTAATGACTCATTACTCACAGGGACCGTTTTTTTTTCTCTCCCCCCACTCCAATACCCTCACTTTGCCGAACACCTAATTCTTGCAGTTTTGTCTAACGTCTATGTATATTAGTCTTACTACAGTGTGGCTGGAGTATTCTTATTTATCCTTATTTATTTCCCCCTTTTATTGGTATTATTATTATTCTCTCTGTGGCTTTGCATGCACACTGAGTGCTTCGTTGCCGGAGACATATTCTTGGTGTGTTGAATCACAGATGGCCAAATAAAGTATTCAAATCAATTCAATTAAAGTAAACAAGTTGTATCTTGTTTCTGTCTTGTTTGTTTTTTGTATCTCCCCCTTCCCCACTTGTTTGTTAGCCGCCCTGAGTCCCTCCGGAATAGGGCGGCATAAAAGTATAATAAACATACAACAAACATAAACACACAAATATGTCATACATGAGTTGCATATGTTAGAGGAAAACACTTCAGCCACAGAAGGAGCAGATCCAGGACATACATATATGTCTCAAGCTCCTTTGAGACATAGATTTGATCCATTTATGAAATAGGAATTGGTGATATAAGGCATCGGGCTTGGGATTGATATACTCTTTGCATATTCAGTAATATGGTTTATTTTGTTTTATTTTTAGACAATGGTTACATAGAAGGAAAAGAGCTTGATAACTTTTTCT